TATTTTGTGTGTGTGGCCAGCTCAGCCCACCAGGGGGCGGGCTGGCTGGCATGTGGTGCTGGGGGATTGAACCGTGGTCCCTGTGCTTTGCTCAGCTTAGCTTGTTCTAAGTAGGTGCTTTAGACCACTGAGCCATCTCACCAGCCCCTGTGTTATATTTTGACCCATCACTTTTCCATAAGTTTTTTTTATTTTTCTGGTACCAGGAATCAAACTTAAGACTTTCAACTTACCAGCAGGCACGTAAGCCTCTGAGTTATCTCTGTGGCTTTCCAAGTCTTTTACATTCCAGTGATCACCATGAGAAATCTGTGCGAAGTAGAACAAATCCATGAATGCTTTCAGTGTAGCTAGTAAGGTGTCGTAAGAAATACATTTCTGAGTATGGCTACTGGTACATGCAGAATGTTTTGCCTGCATTTCAGCCTTCCTGTATTTCATAACATCCAGCAGCATTTTGTGTGTTACAATTTCCAACACTGAATGGTGGTGCTGGCAGTCTATCCAGTACGGTTCACCCCTGCCACGTCCTCACTATATTTTCAGATCTAATTCTAATGCATCGTTCCATTTGGTTGTGTGGTCATTTTGCACCATTTTAACTTGTCAAATACATACTTATGATCTAGGCGTGGTGGCATATGCCTGTAATCCCAGCACTTGGGAGGCTCCGGCAGGAGGACTGTTGTGAGTTCAGGGCCAGCCAGGGCTACATAGTGAGTTGAAGGCTAGACTAAACTGCTTAGTGAGACTCTATCTCAAAAACATACAAAAAATAATGTATATGTATATTTATTCACATTGCTGCTTTCTTCACCATCTGAATCAAGGAGGTCTGAATCCCCTGTGTCTGTATCAGTCTATCTTTTTTTTTTTTGGTACCGGGGATAGAACTCATGACCTTGCTCTTGGCAGGCGGGTGCTTATGCCACTAAGCTATATCCACAGCCCTCTATCAGTCTATTCTTGCTCCATTTGACTGTCACAGGAACTTTGGCTCATATAGTCAGAGTCAAAGTCATAATCATCATCATCATCATTATATACCCATGCTACTCTTCTGTTATATATTTTACCATAATGCATCGTCTTCATCACCTATGCATAAGTAATCTGATGATTCACTTTTGAGCTCTTCCAAAACTTGCAAATCTGGTTTTTCATATGCCATTGTACTAAATTGTACTACTTCTACCAGAAAAACCAAAAGAAAACTTTTACTTTTTAAACAAATCCTAAAGTGATGTGGGTTTACTGGACCCTCTGTGATGCTCAGGTAAACATACACACAACTAGCTATAGCATAAAGGTGAGTTCAAATTACATTTTGCCACTTTTGTACACAGGCACACTTCTTGCTATTAATCATATCAAGTGGGTAAACACATAGATTGTTTTGTGTATCCCTCAGGGAAAGGCACTGAGATGCATAGCCAGCTACTGTAATGCTAATGTTCAAATTAGAAAAGTAAAGGATTGGTCTGTCAGACCTAGTCTTATGCTCTTAGGTTAAGAGTAATCTCAAATATCCATAATACTTTCAGAGTGATTAGACACAATTAGATGATAGAATTTTAAAGATGGAGAGCATCTTTAATGACTTATAATTATACCCTATTATGAGTATGGATTTAAATAAACAGTTGCCATGGTGTGCACCTATAGTCCCAGCTACTGTGGAAGCTTACAGAGTACAGAGTTCAACACTAGCCTGGACAACACTGAGATCCTGCCTAAAAGAGCCAAAAAAAAAAAGTAAAGTTCATCGAAACAAGTTTGTTAAAATTATCAGAACAGCCTCACAAGTAAATAAAGAGAACTATAAGCTTCACATACATTTCTAGTAGCCTTGTGAACCACTTTCCTTTATCAGTGCCACTCAAGTATTTTCTTGGCTACCTATACTTTTTCATTTGTGTCCAAATGGAAAGCAACATAATGTTCAGTTCTCTAAAAAACAACAATATTCCTAAAAATACCTAAAAATGGTAATAACAGACAAGTAGGGTTTAGGAAATTTATTTCAGTGCAACTGCCAGATATATTTTAAGCCCTATGCTTAAAAATAAAACTAATTCACATGACTAACTCGAAATACTGGAGCCAAAAAAGTCACTGCAAAAGCATTTAATGGAATACCTAGAGTTCGTCTCTTGTTTTCATCTTTGCTACAATTTTTGTGAAAACTTCTTACCTTGATTTATACTAAACATATCTTGATACATACCTAATAAAATAAAAATAGACATTTTCCTAACAACACATTTTCATAACCTCTGACTCACATAAGGTTGGTGGACTGTTCCGATGCAATGCAATGCTGCTTATATAGAAAGAAGTTTGGTTCATCTGAAGCATTTTCCAACGTGGAATAAACAACTACGTTTTCTAACAATCCTTAATTTGACCTATGAACAAAAACAAAGGTTGATTAGGAATTTTAAAAAGGTTGATTTCTTGATGAAAGCAATGAAGAGTATTATCAGTAGGCTAAATAATCATTTCTATCACAGTCCAGAAAGCAACTGAACTAGGAAGAAATGTCCATTATTTTCATGTTGCACGTTAGTACTGATATAAAACACAACTCCAAGTTTCAGCGTATGCTTTGAAGTTGAAAGAGCAACACTACACACCAAGAGAGACCAACAATGGGGATGTGGATATGAGAATGACTTAAGCATATTGATTTTTTTTCTGTGAGATTTTTTTTTCTTTTAATTAAATGAAGCTTGACTTCTATTGACTGCCATCTTCTGGAATTTCATTTTTAAAGCTCCCCTGACACACACATTGGCTTGGGAGCATCGTTGAGTGTTTCCTAACTTCGCCACTGAACCGCAAGCTCAGTGAACATAGAGGGCTGAGGATGGAAAATCAACTCCACTAGGGCAAAATTTAAAAAGGCATTTTATCCCCTCCAAGAGAATCTCTAGAATCTAAGGAGGCTGAGGCCACAGGATTGCCTGAGCGGGGACCTGCGCAGGTTACTTCGTGAGTTCACGCCCAGCCGTAACTGCATAGTGAGTCGCTGTCTCAGGAGTACAAGCGACCCCTCTACCCATGATAAGTGACAAAAATAACAGGCACGCTTCCCGTCAGGATTCGCCAGTCGGGCTGTCACCCCTCGGAGGAACCCCAGACGAGCAAGCTGTCAAAACAGCAACCAGAAACTAGCAGAGGTCCCGCCCGGCCCAACACTTCAAGGCCGCTCCGCAGCCCGCCGCGCCCGCCTCCGAGCCCGCCAGGGGCGAGGTCCGCTCGGCGCGCCACACCCGCCGCCCCGCCCAG